ATAATGCATTATTATTATTTTAAAATACTTATTAAAAATAATAATGCATTATTATTATTTTTATTTTTAGTAATATATATACATAATATATATATTTAATTATAATTATTTTTATACATTATTATTATTTTTAATAATAAATTTAATTATAATTATTTTTATTGTAATATATATGCATTAGTAATGATATATATATATATATATATATATATATATTTGTATATATATGTGAATTTATATGTATATATTAATTTAAATACATGTAGATGAATATTTAGATATTTAATAATATTTTTGAATGGTAGTCAGCAGTTTTTTGTTGAGTCAACAGTTTTTTTTGCTGAGTCAGCATTTTTTTGCTGAGTCAGCAGTTGCGTTTGTTTGATTTGGAAAAAATTTAAAATTTTGGGTATTTATGTGGGAATTTTGAAAAGTTCAGGTATTTATATGACAATTTTATAGTTCATGTATTTATTTGGGATTTTTGTAAAAGTTCGGATATTTTTATGCGATTACCCCTTGATTCAATATATGCATTGTTTACTATATAATAACTAAAATTCAAGATAGGGAGGGGAAGTTTGAAGAAGGCCGAACTATGTGTACTTGCTCGAACAGATCTGAAAGCTTCTCATGGAGATTGAAGATTGAAGATCTTCTAGCATAGGTTCCACCTATAAACATGTATGTAATTATGTATAGTAAGTTATGTTAGATAAATGGATATGAAAAGAATGAGAACCGGATAACTCTTCTAGGCGTGAGGATCACTTTGCAAAAACGTTATTTCGTCCCAAATGAGCAAACGGGATACCGAAACACGTTTATGAGATACAAAGAAGAGATAGTGATTTTGTTTTGCTCTACAACAATCACCAAAACAGGAAACTTGTGAAGAAGAAGATGAACTCCATGGCCGTTATCATCAAACCTGTTATATACGCATTTATCTGATTGATTCAGACGAAAACCGTTAACCAAAACAACTTCATCAAAGTTTTGATGCCATTGTTTGGGTGATTGTTTCAATCCATACAATGATTTGACTAACTTGCACACCTTGTGTGCTTGTCTTGATAGTATAAAACCTTCTCGTTGCCTTCTAGATCACCATTCAAGAATGCCGTTTTGACATCCATTTGGTGGAAACTGTCGACGTTTATCGCTGCAAGAGCAATCAACAATCTTATTGTAGCTATTCTAGCTACTAGTGCATACGTATCAAAGAAATCAATTCCCTCTTTTTGTCTAAAGCCTTGAGGTACTAGACGAGCCTTGAACTTATCTATTGTCCCGTCGACTCTCATCTTCTTTTTGAAGATCCATTTGCAACCTATAGGTTTACAACTTGGAGGTGGATCTACTAAGATCCATGTATTGTTACTCATGATGGAATCCATCTCATCATTTATTGCTTCCTTCCAGAAAGCGACGTCCTGCGATTTCATCATTTCGTCGTACGTCCTAGGATCTCCCTCGATATTATAGACATAAGCGAGTTGAGTCATGATTGACTCGTTTGTACCTTCAATGAGATACATCTGAAAGTCCGGACTAAAGGAGTTTTCTTTCCTTATACGTTTACCTCTACGAGGTTCACGTTGTCCGTCCTCTTGATCGTTTGCTCAACCACTTGTACTAGGTATAACAGGTGGTGGTTTATCTACCGAAGAAAATCGACTTTCGTCGAACAATGCATCTCTCGACTCGATAACCGTGTGAACGGATATGTAGTCGTTTGATTCTATTACATAGAACCTATAGGCTTTACTACGTAGAGCATAGCCTATAAAGATACATTCTATTCCTCTTTCACCCAACGTTTTTCTTTTAGGTTTCGGCACTTTCAATATTGCCCTACAATCCCAAATCCGAAAATAATTCGGATTCGGTTTCCGGTTGTACCATAACTCATATGGGGTAATCTTATTCCTTTTCGATGGAACTCGATTTAGAATATAACAAGCCGTTAATATGGCTTCACCCCAAAAACCCTCACTTAAACCCGAGTATGAAAGCATGGAATTAACCATTTCTTTCAAGACCCTAATTTTTCTTTCCGCTACACCATTTTGTTGTGGTGTGTAAGGTGCGGTAGTCTCATGAATCACTCCTACGGATTCAAAATACATAGGATCATAGTATTCTCCTCTCCTATCGGTCCTAAGCTTCTTTAGCTTAACCCCGAGATATAACTCAACCTCGGATTTATATGCTCTAAACCTATCAAGAACTTCATCCTTTGAATTCAACAAAAATACATAGCAAAACCGAGTAGAATCTTCTATGAATGTTACTACATACTTTTTATTTCCTAAAGACGGTGTACTATGCAAGTTACATAGATCACTATGTACTAGTTCCAATATTTTCGAACTCCGTTCTATGCTAGGAAATGAAAGATGGGTTATTTTTGTTTTCATGCATGTAATACATTTCTCATCATTCAACGTGCGTGGTGGAATTAAATCCATTTTCGACATAAGATTAACACGTTTGTAATGAACATTCCTAGTCTAGCATGCCACAATGTAGAAACATTAACATCAACGACATACAAAGAATTGCGATTATTATTATTAATGTTGAGTTTGAACATGTCATTACATAGATACCCTTGTCCCACAAACACACCACCTTTGGAAAGAATAAACTTATCGGCTCAAAGACCATCTTGAATCCGAACCGATTGAGAACACTACCCGACACAAGATTTCTCCTTACATCCGGAGCGTACAAAACATCCCGAAGGGTTAAAGTTTTCCCGGACGTAAACAATAACTCTACTTGTCCTTTCCCTAGAACTTTAGCCGTAGAGTCATTTCCCATGTAAAGCATGCTTCCTTCCTCCACGACTTCGAAAGTCTTGAAGAGTCCACGGTCTTTACATATGTGTCGTGTTGCTCCCGAATCGATCCATCATGATTTGTCAACCTCCTGTACATGATTTAATTCATAAATCATAGCAACAAAATTCATTATCGAATTTGTCAAAAAACAAACACGGTTACCTTGAGTGGCTTGGTCAAGGTTTTGATTTCCTTGACCTTGAACACTCTTTTTCCCGTGTTTGTTCTTCCACGAGTAGCAATCCCTCTTGAAGTATCCCGGTTTGTTACAAAACCAACAAGTTGTGTTTGATTTCGTTTTCTTCTTTGGGTTGTCCTTGGAGGAATTTTTGTTCAGTCTTTTTGCTCCCCGTTTCTCATCTTCTACAATGTTAACTGTGGAAGATGGAGAAACTAGTGCCCCTTTCCCATCTTGCATTCGAAGATCCTCTTCGATGCGAAGATGTGTTCCCAATTGTTCAAGAGTCATATCTTCTTTTTTGTGTTTCAGGGAACGCTTCACATCCTTCCAACTCGGTGGAAGTTTGTCAACAATGGACATACCTTTATGGTTTCATCCATAGTCAGTTTGTGTTGTGCAAATTGACTCAAGATCCTTTGTAGTTCATAGAATTGCTCCACGATCGATCTCGAATCAACCATCTTGTAAGCGTTGAAGTTGATTACAAGAAATCTTTTACTAGAGGCATCTTCGGAGAGATACTTTGCCTCTAGTGAATTCCACAACTCTTTTGCGGTTCCCTACTTCCACTCATCTCCACCAAAATAAAAACCCTAGGATCTCGATATCCTAATAGCTCTCTTCAAATCCTGACCCCAAATCCTCCAATGCATACATTTCCTTGTAGTTCAATGCATGTATACTCTTCTCTTCGTCGATGGCATTGAATCGGCTCAGAAAAAAGAAAAAAAATCCCCAAAGCCGCTATCAAGGCTAAACCATAGAAATGGATGAAGGACAAGATTTTCTCCAACACCGAGCCACCCGAACAGGTGTGCCTGAGATTTAGGCGTCAAAAAGAAGAAAAAAGATCAAAGGGTTGATTTTTCTTCCACTGGAAACCTGATGGGATGATTTTGGAGAAAGAAATTTCTATGGTATTGGTTGAGATGACGTCTCGGTGCTTAAGAATTATATCAAAAGCCACTGTCGGTTCTAGGTAGCTTGTTGCTCTTAGCAGTATCGAAAAAAAGCTGACCGATATTGTTCATCGTTTTTTATGAAATATATATATTTAACTTTAAAAAATAAATAAAATTATAAGAGATTAAAACTAATTACACCTAGTTGTTTCGTACGTGAACATCTTCACTATATTCACGTTCATATTCATGGATATATAATTAATGAGTATTGAATTATTTAAAAAACCTTTTATATTCTAACTAATGAGACCCGTATTAATCTAACTGTACTATTATATGTTGGAGATATTTAGTCTTTATCGGATCTTCTTTCATTTATTCGATTGGATACAAAAAGCCTCGATTCTCGCTTCAGCACGCTCTCTCTCTCACCTATCTGACGTCTTTAGCATAACACTACTAAGAAAGGGAAAAAATAACAAAATGAATTTTGCTGAAACTCACTCGTGTTTCCCATACAAATATGTTTCTGCCCAATGCCCTCAAGACTCAAGCTCTCTCAAATTTTTCTCTATTCACGCCTCTACCTTTCTGTAGCTCCTATGTCTAGTATTTATATGCAGTTCCTCCTCCTCTTTCCAATTTTGTGTTTTCCTTTCTTTTGAGATTCATTCTTTTTCTTCAAGATTTTAATTTTTCTTCAATGACATATTTCCTTTTTTTCTTCAAACTCATTCATTTGCTGATTCTTCTTCATATTGACATGATTCCTTTTTCCTTGAGATCTTCTAGATGTTAAATCTTCTCTTGATATCCTTTCCAATATTAACAGAGTGTCTCCGACCCCTGCCGTTATGCGGTTTCCCAATTGAAAATAAGGCATTCCAAGTTCTTGGAAACAGAGCTCATGAATGACTTCTTGGCTTCCCGATCGAAACAGGCGAGTTGCTATTACCGCTTTCCATCTCGGGTTTCTCATAATCCTTCAACTTTATCTTCATTTTTAGTAGCTTGAACTTCAAATCCTAGTTTTTCCTCTTCATTACAGGAAGTGAGTTTTAGGTGAAGGAAGAATGGAAGGTGATAGGTCTGGAAGAATATCAGTCTCATTCCATAACATCACGTATACGTTGGTGATGAAATATTGCTCTATAAACGATTTCGATCAAAATTGGATTTTACATTCGGAAAACCACAACTTGTCTCAGACAATTTATATTTACTACACCAAGATATTCTGATAAAAGTCTACTAAGTAATTCTGATTACTATTTACAAAGTTGAATAAACCTGTTAATGCAAACAGAGTACATTGTCTTCAACTAAAAACTTTAAGCATTTACTTCTTGACCCGTCCGAAAGACCACTAACCTGTAACATTATCTTGATCACATCCAGTGGACAAACAATTGTCAAAGCGATTGCCTCTAAATTTTCACATAAACCAAAATCAGTAATGAAATAAAAAAACGCCAAAAGAAAATCATCAAACGAAGCGAGATGAATCCTAAAGCACAAGAAATATCATCGAACTTACCAACGACAACTCTGGCATCGACGATGTAGATGACATCTTTGATGCTCCGGGAATCACCGGAAGAATCCCTACTTCCACTCATCTCCACAAAAAACAAAACCCTACGATCTCGATATCCCAATAACTCTCTTCAAATCTTGACCCCAAATCCTCCAATGCATACATTTGCCTTGTAGTTCAATGCATGTATACTCTTCTCTTCGTCGATGGCATTGAATCGACTCGGAAAAAAGAAAAAAAAATCTCCAAAGCCGCTGTCAAGGCTAAACCATAGAAATGGATGAAGGACAAGATTTTCTCCAACACCGAGCCACCCGAACAAGTGTGCCTGAGATTTAGGCGTCAAAAAGAAGAAAAAAGATCAAAGGGTTGATTTTTCTTCCACCGGAAACCTCATGGAATGATATTGGAGAAAGAAATTTCTATAGTGTTGGTTGAGATGACATCTCGGTGCTTGAGAATTATATCAAAAGCCACTGTCGGTTCTAGACAGATTGTTGCTCTTAGTAGTATCGAAAAAAAGCTGACTGATATTGTGCACCTTTTTTTTATGAAATATATATATATTTAACTTTAAAAAATAAATAAAATTATAAGAGATTAAAAGGGCTAATCGCATATAAATACCTGAATTTTTACAAAATTCCCAAATAAATACCTGAACTTTTCAAAACTTCCATATAAATACTCAAACTTTTAAAAAATTTCCAAATACAACAATTTTTGTTGACGGCGTTAATCGACGAAGTGATGGGATTCCGTTATAAATTAAACGGCGTTTATAAAATTTGGTTGTATTTGGAAGTTTTTTAAAAGTTTGGATATTTATGTGGAAGTTTTGAAAAGTTCATGTATTGATTTGAGAATTTTATGGTTCAGGTATTTATTTTGGAATTTTGTAAAAGTTCAGGTATTTATATGCGATTATTATTTACACCTAGTTGTTACGTACGTGAACATCTTCACTATATTCACGTTCATATTCATGGATATATAATTAATGAGTATTGAATTATTTAAAAAACCTTTTATTCTA